CAAAATCAAGTGAAGCGCCCAAACCCCTTAAATAAAAGGTTCAGGGTTCTTTAGTATAAGGCAAACATTATATTTTTTTTCTGTGTTTTGTTTTGTGAAATGTAAGATAGTTTTGACTGAAATCTTCTGGGGATGAAAAGGAAAAAGGGGAAGAAGAAAGCAGGAACTGGCCTGAGAAGGTTTGGCACAGACCTCAGCTCAAAACATTTAACTTTGATAGTGTTTTATAGGCAAGTGGAAACACGCTTTAAATCAAAGATCTCTGTAAATGATAACAGACATCCCCCCCCCCCCCCCCCAATAATCAATCAGGGTGCTTTACTTTCCAGTGAATTAGGAGTTAAGATTACAATAAGGATCTTGCAGCAATTAAAAAAAAAAAAAATCAAGCTAACAAGGAATAAGATGGCCATCGTGAGAAAGCCGGGAAATTCAAGAGTTAAAGGTTAAAGAAATCCAAATGTTTAAAAACATTGGAATGTGACATTAGGGTCACCCAACTTGTCACTTCTCCAAGGCCGTATGAGAACAGGCTGGCCCCTAACAGGAGACTGGTGTCCTGAGGTTGGTCCTCTGTCACAGGCTCATAAAGTACATGCTAGGCTACCATTTCTGTTACAGATCTGCTATCAATTTTTCTATTATTTGAGGTAAGTCCTATTCCTCATATTAGCAGCCTTTTATGGCCAACTGCTTTCATAGCCAGAAATTTCTACTCAGATTGCTGTCCTTCCAATGAAAATGTTTGACTAAGGGCTTGATTTGCTTTTTTTAATAAGTAAAGAGCTTGTTCTCAAGAAATAAGTAGTCCTTTTTTTTTTTCCTTTGGGAAACAAGAATAACAAAAAAATGTAATTCAGCAGAACTGGATAAACTGTTTACATTATTTTGCACTGTATTTTTCTTAATCCAGGAAAGCTGTGTTTGGGTAGAAAAGATTATTTTTTTTTATTTATTTATTTGATAATTAGTCTAGCAAAATCTAATCCAAAGTCTAAGGTGAAGACAGAGATGGTCAAATGAGGATCTTCATCCAGGAACAATGTGGATATGGCTACCTGAGGTAAGTTTTTGCTACAGAAGTACTCTAAGTTGAGCAGTGGGGTTCAAATGCGAGCAACTATCTAAGGCTGTTTGGATTTTGTTACCTTTTGCTGGGCCAATCATCTATTTAATAAGTCACCCAGAGATTCCTGAGGCTGGGCTGCTGTGCCAGACTGAGGTCCCTTCCCAGCGAACTGCTCTCCTGGTCACACGTGGAAATTACAGGAATGCACCTGACGACTATCAGGACGTGAGCTGTTAGGCGAGAGCTAACAGGTGACTTGAGAGGGAGCTGAGATACTGGAGTGAAACATCTGAACCCTCAAAAACTTGCTCAATTGTTTCTTGATTTTGCTAGGTAGTTTTCTGCTTGACACAGTTCCTGAAATGTCTGAGGCCGTGTGCTCCTTTGCTTGCTCTGTAAGTGATCTTGTCTGAGTATTTTAGTGGTCACCTTCATATCTGTGTCCAGGCTACAGGCAGGAGCTGAGTGTTCCTTTGTTGTTTTGATGTGATTCGCTCTTAAAGCTCCACACAGCCTATGCATGAGAGGGACTCGTGGCTCCCTTTTTTTCAGAGATGTGGTGGTAGTGCAGTCTCTTGTATGCAGTAACTTATTAATTCAGTTAGTGCTAAAAAAATCTGCAGTGAATCAGGTGAGCATCTACAGTCTTGAATATCTTACTGGAGAGGACAGTAAACAACGTACAGCAGAGGCACAAGCTGACAAAAAAAGGTATTGGATTATATCCAAGACAGATATAGTGCTTATTAGCATAGATGTAATGCTGTACAATGGTTGTTTTTCTGACATTGAATTAGTTTTTACTGAGCAAATCCAGGTTTTTATGTGCTGTATTCTCTAGCCATAGTGGATGTCTGTGTGACTGTGCTATAGAGATGCCAAAAAAAGGTCTGGCCTCTCTGTCTGGCATCTCTGTCTGGCCTCATATTCAAGGAGCCCTGGTAAGGACTTGGGTGAAAAATGCAGGGTGAAAGTCCACAGAAATGTTTAAATGGACACTATTGGACAAATGTTCTCTCTAGCAAGCTAAGAAAAGCTTTCTGATTCAGACCAAATCTGATATCTTCTAGACCCTCCACTTCAGCTGTGTATTGCCAATTGGATAACATCCCTATGTTACAAAAACCGCAGCCATATCTGTCCTCCAAGGGTCTTACCGCCCTCTTTTCATACCAAAGTACTTGTACCTGGTACGTCTGAATATGACGAACAGAAACTTCTGTTTGGAAATGGCAGTCTATAACCATGCTAGGTGTTTTGTTCTTTGGTTCAAGTTGCCAGGGTTCTTGTGACTCAGTCCATTCAAGTTTTGTCAATTTGAGGGTGAACAAGCATTCACGCACACACACACGTTTTCTTTGAGATATTATTAACAAGAATGTAGAGGATTTATTGCAGCATTCCTGATTGATTGGTAAACAAGTTTATTCTGGTTATAGGCTTGAATCCCATCCAACTTCTTTGTTTACAGAAATGGTCTCCCAGCTTCCACTTAGGCAATCATTTAACATTACTTTCCTTCAGCTATTGATATCTGTTATTGTATAAATGTCACTGTGTTTTTACTTGTCTTTCTAAAATACAATACACTGCTCTACATCCATTCTATTAAATCAAATGAGATTCATAAGAACTTTGACCAGGTGCTGAAATTGCTGGTCAACTCAGTGGGGTATAAACAGGTACTTCCCCTCTCGTGATGGGGCCTGTGAAGTGTTTGAAACCACAGGTCCAGAAGGCCTTGCAAAACTTTACCACTCCCTTCCTAATGCTCCTGTGGTTGCACTGAGCCACTCTTACCATGAAGAAAGCCTGGGGCGATATCTACCAGTAGAGTACAAGAACCAGTTGAACTTGCATATGCTGAGTTACGGCAGAAAAACTACACTGTGATGTGACACCCACTTCACTGATATGGCCAGACTATGCCCTAGCTCTTCCCCAGCCTAGGCTCACAGATTTTCTTTCCAGAAAACCAGGGAACAAGGAGAATGGAGGATGTCTGGGTTTCATCCTAGACCTAAGTCATGAGTCTGGGGCATGCTTCTCCACCTGTGCTGGGAAGTGATCCTGGGTTTCTGAGTTATTGCTGCTGTGTGTTGCCTGCTACAACATTTACTGAAAACATGCCTGGATTTTAAAAGCAGTAGTCCAGAGACAGGCTGACATCTTGCTCTCACCATATGAACTTGTCTCAGAGTAAAAAACATTAAATATGGGTAGAGAAGGGTCACTTGGTACCGATACTGCAGGGCTTATCTTCGTATTTTAAGCATGTTGCCTCCGGGAGTTCTCTGGCAATTAGGCAGTGGTTGAAGAACTTAAACTTCAGCCTTAAGCATTGAGGGAGGTAATAGGACACCTACTTCACTCCTCAGAAGTTAGTCCCAAATGGCAGCCTCCCTCCCAGTCCCCTGGGATAACTGAGTACAGTGGGCATGTGATCAGGGCATTAGAGACATCACTGCACCTTAGGATAATTGAGCTTGACCATAACAAAAGCAATGTGATTGCCTTACAGCTGGGCAGCTAATACACAGGGAAAACCTAGATATATTTTAAAATAAAACGGTACAATGTTAAAGAAAAGCACATGACGTTAAAAAAGATTGACTTAAAAATAAATCTCGAACTTCCATCCTCTGAAGTTTATTAAAGAAAATTGAATTGCACTGGAGTCTATACACTGATCATCCTGCAGTAAATCAAATGTTAGCAACAAAGACTGAAGCTGACCATCTGGTTCATTTTACCCAGTGCTTTGCTACCCCAGGCAATCATGTTATATACGCCATTTAACACGCTGATCAAGCATCACTTTAAAACTGACCGCATAGCTATTCCCCTCTTGGTTCTGGAAAGAGGCTCTCCTGGAGCATCACTGCTCAGCAGTAGCAGCAGCCTTCTAATTTCCAATTTCCAGTCCTGAGGAGTTTACTTGCCTTTGTTCTTGAACCAAATGCGGCGTCTTGGCTTATAGCAGCTGTCTAATCCCTTCCATGATCTACAGTCCTCCACAGAGACACACTGTTCCTTCTTGCAGCCCTTCTCTGCACCTATTCAAGCTGGCTTTCATCTACATGAGCATAGCTGACCCAAATTGTGCAGAGTGTTACTGTATTTATGTTTATACATCAGTAGCTGGTGATTGAGACTAGGAAATATCAATCTGATATCTAGCATAATTTTTATTCAAACTATTTATAGCAGTCACATTTATTTCTTATTATTACTCTCAAGTGAAAATGCTCAGTTTCAGATTTGCCTGTAGTGTATTTACTGCAGGAGAAATAAATAATTCAGCTGGTATTTCTAAAAATATAATTAGTTGATGAGTCAGAGAAGAATTTCATCTTCCTAAATGTTAAGTCTTGAAGACTGGGATTATCATGATCAGCGTGTCTGACCTGTGACTCTGTCATGTCTTAGGACTCTGCCTGGTAATTCTTGCATCAGTTTGTAATTAAGATGGAAGATTGTTCAGACAAGACTGAATAGAGGGCCCAAACCACATTCCTGCAATTTGCTGAATGTTATTTCACACAAAACAAACAAAAGGTACACCCCACAGACAAGCCTGCATCTGGTGATTCATCATTTTCATTTAAAAATTTAAGACAATTAACACTTACTAATGGGCTAATTTCTGATAACTCAGTGCGCATTTTTAGAACATCATACATAACTGTGAACCACTGTATGTGTGTGCGTGTGTATATATATATTTAAGGCAATGAAACATATTTCTATTTATGGGAATCCAAGTCTTACTAAGAACCTGTATCAGCCATGTGAAATGCGAAAATAGAAAAGGAGGCAGCTGGGATAAAATGAAAAGGCATAATAAACTGATCAAACTCCAGACTCCAATAAAAGCTGCCATGAAAGAAGAAACTGAAAAACAAAAATGAACACCACGTAGAGCAAAAGATCAATATTTTATTGACTGGAAAACAGAATGCTATGTACTTGTTGGTCAGTCATTATCCATATTGATTTTATGCCACTGCAGTTCGGCTCTGGCTTAGCTATGCATACATATTCTTTTTTTTTCTTTTCTCTTTTTTTCATTTTTCTACCTAAAGTAATGGTTGGTTTCAGTATGAATAAAGCCCGCTCAAGTCAGCCAATAACGCTACGCACTAAAGGTCAGAGTCTAAAGGAGAATGTATGACTTAAAGACATGCAAGATGAGGACTAAAACAGTGCTGAGCGGTGCAGAATCTGCCATCCTTAACATCACTGCACCGCTCACAACAGCCTGGTACAGACACTGTAACGCAAGTCAGGCCATTGTAACATACAGTATGGAAGAAGTAAGAGGAGAAATGCCTGTAACTCAGCTCTAGATGACCTTTAATAATAGACACTTGAGTGCTGAAGCTCAGCAAGCAGATATAACCTTCTCAACGCCAGCTACCCAGAAATCAATACCTTGTACTGCAAGCGAGGACTGCCTAGCTTGCAATGACAACATTACCAATTCTGGACATAATATTGGCAAATGCATGTGGCACATGGCAAAATGAATCAGGTATTGGTTCTGAAGAGCTTATAGCCTGCTACAGACGAGCAGGCATTTAGAAGAAAAGGGGTAGACTGTGGATCAAAGACCTAGCAGGGTGGAAATGGTAAGGCCTTTAACAGTGTTTTGATTGCTGGCAAATGGGCTCTGAGGGGAGGAAAGTACAAGGTTAAAGGGACAAGTATGAGTTGGCTTTTGTCTCTACTAATAAAAAAAATATTTTATGCATGTATTTGAAGGTCTAGTGAAGACAATGGAGAGAGTCCTAAGGTATATTAGCTATGGGAAAGTGTACATCAGCACTATCCAATCTTGGGCAATCCTTAGCTGTTACAGTAGCTCAAAATATAGGTTTATTTATGTTCTAAAGCAGTTATGCCTGAAAAATTAAGTACAGTTAACCAATTTTGGGAAAGGACCTGTCACTCAGGTTTTTCTGATGACTGAAGACTATGTTTCTGAGGAGCAATCTCAGTAAGGAGAGGAAAATGACCCTTTTTTCCCTTTATCTGGCCTTGGAATAGGCCTCTCTTACTCGGTGGCCCTCTGTGTAAAAGTACCCCCCTCTTCCCACTTTCTGCCTGCTTTGTCAGAAGCTTTTTTGCCTGAAATACGGAGGAAGTTGGTCTTTACAGTTGTTCTCATCAATGTTATGATCCAATAGAAAAATGCATGTGCCCAGCTTTCCACACCAAGGTCTGCATCTGTGAAGCAGTGCTATTGCCTCATCATTAGTCATATGCCATATAGACTTTTCCCAACCCTCCTTGGTTCATGGGAGATGAAATGTACGTTTTTAAGCTTCTAACAGCAGAGTGCAGTGTGTTACAAGGAGAAACATACTGTAGTTAGATTTAAAATATATACGAATCTTTTCTGCATTATTTTCTTAGCCAGTATGGGGCTGTTTGAATTTTTTTTACAAGCAGCTGAGAACTATGATAGAGTTAAACTGCTGTTGAAAAGTTACTTGAATGACTAAATAACTGTTATACCTTTTAGATTATTTTCTTACTGCAGAGTAATGAAGTACATGGTTACAGAGCGAGAATAATGCAGGCGTACAAGCTCTCCACAGAACTATGAAGCAGAGCCACATTCACGACAAAGGACATCATCCTGCCGAGTGAGGAATCCTTGGCCCACCAGCGAGACAGAGCATTTTGCACAGTTAAAGCATTCCCCATGCCACTGGCGCTCTTCAAACGAGATAAATTTGGCACCTCCGAGAGCTGAAAGAGATTATGAGAAAGAAGATGCGAATCCAGTATTTCTGGACATGGTTCAGAAATGCAACAGATTGTTTTCTGATGTGTGATCAGGTTGTCATTCATATAGCAAACAAACAAATGAACAAAGATCCGTAGCCTGAAATATCCTTTGTTGGCTGAATTGAAAACAACTTTAAAATTAAATACAGTGAGAAATATTTTAAGCAAAGCCACAATTCACTTGCTTGTTTTCATATCCCATTATGAACTCTGAACAGAATAGGTTTATCAGAACGTCCATTCAGGTTTGCTGATCTTCCCAACAAACTCTCATGAAAATTAATTGCAATGTGTTGATACACATAGTTTCTATACAACACTGAGTGAAATTTAATTATTTCCATCTAAGTTTCTTCAAGATGGGGTCCTTCAGAAATCACCAGATTATTGAGTTCCTAGCATGAGTATCTGAAATAAAACACCTGTGTTTTGTGTTGTTTTTTGTTTTGTTTGTTTGTTTTGTTTTTAAATCGTGCCCGTTTGATTGGCTATTCATCATTTTATTTGTCCACTTACATACGTGGCATGCATCTGTAACAATCAGTACTCTTCAACAGTTGAGTCCACACATAATACAATTACAATGCGGAACACCAGCAAATGCTCTCAGAAAACTTCAGCTATCATAGACTAGTGACCTATATGTCTAATTATAAATTATCTCAGTACACAAGGATGCATGCAATAGAGCTTTGTTGCATTTGGCAAGCTTTCTAATTTGACAGGTGTGCCTAACCAACAGGCAGTTAATTCATGTCCAATTTAATCATATTTGCACTTAAAAACAAAGATGAAGAAATTACAGACATGAGGGACTTGTGTGCACTGTCCTGGGAAGAGACAAAAAGTACCTTTTCATATATTCTTAGGGATGAATTTTAGTGCAGAAAGCACTAAATCAAACAAGGGAGGAACTCCGTTCGGCACACAGAACAGCTCCTCAGCAGTCAGGGAACACGTGTGATCAGTACGTCCTAGCAAGACACGTTACATGTCACGGAGAGAGGGTCTCTCTAGTAGTTAACTCCCTCAGTCTTTCATTATGATGGGACTGTTTCTAATGCTGTTTTAGTAAAGGTCTGATTTGAGAGAAGCCTGATGGTTCATCGGTGTCTAGACCCTTCTAGAAGATGAGACTCACCTGTAATAAGTTTCTTGCAAGCAGCACACTTCTTAGCATACAATTTGCTGAAACAGTCTACACAGTATGGATATTCATCTTTGGAAATAAACCTTTGTCCAGACAGCTGGGTTTTACACCCAGCACACACAAAGCATTCTTTATGCCAAGGCTGGTCATGGTAGGTCACTCCCCCAGAAGTTATTACCTAATGTATTGACAAAAAGGACAGAGCAATGAAACAAAGCTGTGAAACTTGAAGGATTATCCAGTCCTTCATAAGTCCTTCCACTTGTTTTTGCTCTTCACATATGCACAAGAGAAGCGAGTGTGGTCACGTCAACTGTTTTTCATCTGGAATATCAACTTGACTAACTGCAATTGAGCTGAACGTGCCACTGGTTTGTTATTCTCTGTTTTCTATCATAGGATACCCTCATGGTTTATAATAAACAGGTTAACTTGTTATGAAATTTTTCTGTTACACACGCAGATAAAGGCTTAGCATCAGGCATGCTCTCAGAAGGGCAATTCTCAGCGATGGGCAGTGAATGAGAGAACCAATGCTGAGATTATGGCTAATCTCCAACTGGAACTGGCATTTTGCTGTCTCACAACTGAAACAGTATTTTAAGTAGGAAGAAAGAGACAGTAAAGAAGGAGAAGTGAGACAGAAAGGAGATCTGCCAAAGAAGGAAAAAATGGCACTTATCAGTGTCATCAAACTTCTCATTCCCTGAAACTCGCTCACAGCTCTCTACTGGTTATTTCTGAAGAGGGAAATTTCCAGTTGCTCCATGGCTTCCATATATGTGTTAAAGAGCTGGTTTCACAGAAGTTATGAGAGACTATAGAGAAAGACAGACTTTATCTCTTTCTGTAGAGATAAAGATGGGCTGTAAGATAGTGTTTCTACTGTCAAGTCACATGCATGACAGTGAATGAGTGAATGAATATAGTTGGAACATGAGGAGAAAAAGTTGGAGAAACTTAATTAAATAAAAAGAGTGGCACCATCAAATTTCCCTGGGGCATATGGTTTCAGGGAAATAAAGAATAATACTGGGTGATGTCAGACAATAAAAAAAAAAAAAAAAATAGTTCCCAATCCCCTTAGCATTCCAGTATTGGTCTACTTCTAACTCTCATTTGCTTTTCCATTAAAATCTCAAAATCTCTGGCACAAGATTCAAGACTCCAGTTTGGCAATTTAATGTCTTTGGGCTCAATTCTCATTTATGGGAACTGATGCAAGTTTAAGTAGTAAAATTGTTTTAGCTATTATGTAGGGAGACTCTCTGCATTCCTGGACTTTTTAAGAAGCAAATCCTGATTATTTCACATAAGTGCTGATAACCTCAATGCCTCTAATAAACATAGGGCATAATTACTATATTTGCCATGTGATCATTTAATGCAAATTAAAGGCTAGATGTAGACACATGGGAATATATAAAAGTACTTCTAAAGTTTAACTACTGAAGAAAAAAACAGGCAGCAGATTTTTCTTAAATTAAAAGCTTTTGTTAGAGGTAGAGGTTTACAGATAAACATTAAATAACTTTAGAAATTACAAGTTATTTGATGAAGTGAAAAAAAAAAGATTTACTTCCAGAGTGATACAGGTACTAAAGAATAAGTTAAATTCAGCCATAAAAAGCAGCTTAAAACATTTCCCTAGAGAACAGTATTACACTAAAATAGTGTGATACTTTGAGTATTTTCATCAATCAGAGACAATTTTAAAACATGAAAAACTGAGGGATGAATTGATTTATTTGTATTTGGGGAAAAAAAGAAAACCTCATTTGAAATCAAGCTTTCTGGTACCCACAGGGGAAGCATCATGTATTGAAACGGTAGGAATCTTGACTAGTATTATCACAACTGAATATTACTTAATCTGATTATTGCCCAATACATTTCAAGAGAAAACCAGGCAAGACTGTGAATGCTTTGCTCAGCTTAGGCGGCTTATTTTGCATATGAATATATCTGAAAAATGTTGGAAAGGGAGGCATGTTTATCAAGGCAAAATCATATATTACCAGGAAAGAAAGGTTTTACATAATTTCCATTGAAATTTGGACCTTTTTTAAAAAGTGCAAACAAAAGAACCCCAAAATGTTTGTTTTGGTCAATAAATTTATTTCAAATATAATAAGGCTTATATTAAAGTTAACTATAAGGGGGCAGCAGACCGTGTTGCATTTAGCTTTCAGTGTCCAATACCAATACCTATGCTCTTACTCTTAGTTCACCAGACATTTTATATAGTCCAGCCCCTTCCCCCCCCCCCCCCCCCCCCAGCAATGTTGCCTCATTAGGGAAATTTTTCCATTGTACATTTAATTACCTTTTTGCAAGAGTAGCAATGGTGAGCAAATTGCTTCTCAAAACAGGGCACGCAGTAATTCTCGTTGTCTTTGGTGATCAATGGTTTTGTTCCCAATGGCTGCCGACAATACTGGCAAACAAAACAGGATTCATGCCAGGAACTTCCCTTAAATTCTATTTTACGGGAACCTGCAAAAACCCAAAGTGAACAATCCCCCCCAGATATAGCCTTGTAACATAAGTTTTAAATGTTGGGAAGACTCTTGTTTCTAATCTTCTATCTCAGTATTGTATTACCCAAGAAAGCACTTATCCTCAATGTAATAGAGTTTCTAATTATGTACTTGAAATTTCAGGAACACATTCACTGCCATATGATCACCTGGCAAAAGATGCGCTAAGTTGCCTAAGCTGTGATTTTTAGAGTCTGTCCTTACATGAATCTTTTGGAGTTACTTCTCTGTGATACGCTTCAGTTGCTCAGAGTTTCTCTCAGGCCAGCCAACTCAGTGATGATGTTCAGCTACATAGCACTTTCATAAATTAAAGATTAATTTGTTGGATGTTTAGTGCATCTATTAATGTCCTGTCTTTTGTCTTCCTTAAACTAAGTTTCCTTCACTTATAAATGCATTATTTATCTTATTCTGCTTAAGTTGGCAATTTTTTTTTAAAGTAAATACCTTTTCTGTGATAAAGCACGCTACACTGCCTCTTCTTATAGCTCATAATTTCTGTCCTAGAACAACAGTTCTTTTTATCATGTTGAACTAGATGTTTTTGATGCAGCGCAAGGACAGATGCAATCCCAAAAGAAAATCACTCAGTTAAATGTCTGCCAGAGGAGTTTCAGAGCTCTTAGCTCTGTGTACAAATGCCCTGTACACCTTGATGTAGATGTGTAAGTCTAAGATACCTGAGAAGTCTAAGATATCTGAGAATGATTTTTCCAGTCACTCTCCACCTTAACTTCCTCCCCTGCTGATAGCATCAGACTGCAAAGAGAGGTGCCAGGTGCTTTACCATCCTTTCCGCATGAAGAAAATTGCTGATATAACTGATTAATCCCACAACACCTGTCTTCTGGATTGTGGGGCTAGCGGGGAGAGAAACTACTGGTTGTATTGCAACGTAAAAGGTTCGCAGCTTCCTCCCAGTGATCAGAAGGCTGACTTCACTGTCTTTGCCTACTGGGTCTTTTCAACACAGAGCTAGCAAGCTGATGACAAAGGAGTTGTTAATGATTTACAAGCTGGTTGGCATCCCCATGTCACTTCAGTTCTCTGTTTGCACTGTTACCCCTACCCTTGGCACTTGCTGCAAGGATTTAGTCTCCTAGACTCTGGGGCAAAATCTGCAAGATGGATATACACTGGAGGATAATAATGCAAATCCCACTATATTCTGGTGCTATAGTCATCACATCTGGTAAGCCGTGCCTATTAGAGAACATTTTTTAAAATATATCAGATCTAAACAGTATATCATCCTTAAACTGAACACAACTATATTGCTACAACATTTATTTCCACTAATACAGCCTTTACCTGTAATGAAAAGGAAATCAACTGTAAAAATAATATATGTTAAAAAAACCAGTTGCATCAATGCTACTATTGAGGAGGATCACAGGTCAGCAGGAGAGCACCTGAAGAGCAGCAGAAAGAAATT